ACTTTAGATGCAATAATTACTGAGTTCTTACATTTTTACTGAGGAGGCACAGAAGAGTTCCAACAGAGAATTTCACATTAATCAGAGCTAACAGGGTACTTAATAATAAAGCCATGATTATAATAGAAAAAAAAAACATTTATTCAGTCTAACACTGGTAGGTACTAATTCCAAAAACTGTTTAAATTGATATCAGACAGAAACTTTAGTCTCAGCTCTTCAGGGAAATTCAGGAAAATTAATCATTTATCTGAAGCATAAGAAACGCTAAAGACCATTAAGTATTCACCCACAAACAATGGCATATCCTCTATTCTTCTCCTTCCTAAGAGCTCAATCATCTTACTTTTTTAAACTCTGACAGAAGGCATTTTTCCATGAACTGGAAATGCCTTCAAACTTTAGCTGTAGAGAGAACACATTTTTAACTGAAGGGCAAGTAATGGACACCTACTGGAATTTCATCTTCCAGGTGCCTTCTGCACTTGTCTCTCAGGTTTCAGGAGTGCACTTGGTTCATAAAAGTTCAAATCTCAGTTTTAAGACTAAAAACTCTGTAAAGGTCTAACACCTTCCCAGGGTGCTAGAATAAGCTGTACAAATACAACTGCATTACTACAGCTTGCAATGGAAAAACAACGAGACAGAAGGGAGAGCACCCCAACAATTATGCAATACATCAGATGCGATTACACCATAGAAAAATGTTCCTTATTAACATAACATACAAAACAAGATCAGTTATTCTCTAGCAAGATTTTTGCGTATCTTCCACTTACTAGTGCAGAAGTAGAAATGCAGACTCTACGCAGTCAGCATTTAAAATCAACGGGCTGTTTCATACAATTGCTTTTTTGGAAATTCGAACCTTGCATCAACTATGGTCTTAGAATAAATCTTAGCATAAAACCAGTAGGAACTCAAAAATCTAAATTAAGATACTATAGGGGATTATATATATTGATTTTAGTTTTGTAATTATATTTTATATATTCTTTCCTCTGTGTAGGAGGAACAACAATAGTACCTAAGTAATGTAGGCTATAAAGATTTATCATTTCATCTTTTACACATACATGCATATGTTTTTATACACACAAACCAAGTACGTTTAAACTTATGACAGACCATTATTTTTATGCCTCAATTTAGGATTCTGTGCACAGAATTACACTGTAGTGGTATTCAGGATTCACTGCAGTCAATTAATCAATATACTTACAACTGTAAGTCACAGAATCATAGAACAGTTAGGGTTCGAAAGGACCTTAAGATCATCAAGTTCCAACCCCCCTGCCATAGGCAGAGACACCTCACACTAAACCATCTCACTCACGGACCTGTCCAACCTGGCCTTCAACACTGATAGGGATGGAGCATTCACAACTTCCTTGGGCAACCCATTCCAGTGCCTCACCACCCTTGCAGTAAAGAACTTCCTCCTTATATCCATCCAATCTAAACTTCCCCTATTTAAGTCTTAACCCATTACCCCTTGACCTGTCACTACAGTCCCTAACGAAGAGTCCCTCCCCAGCATTCTTACAGGCCCCCTTCAGATACCAGAAGGCTGCTATGAGGTCTCCACACAGCCCTCCCTTCTCCAGGCTGAACAGCCCCAACTTTCTCAGCCTATCTTCATATGGGAGGTGCTCCAGTCCCCTGACCATTCTCATGGCCCTCCTCTGGACTTGTTCCAACAGATCCATGTCCTTTTTATGTTGAGGATACCAGAACTGCACACAATACTCCAAGTGAGGTCTCACGAGAGCAGAGGAAAGGGGCAGGATCACCTCCTTCAACCTGCTGGTCACGCTCCTTTTGATGCAGCCCAGGATACAGTTGGCTTTCTGGGATGCAAGCGCACAGTGAAGCTGGCTCATGTTCATTTTCTCATCAACCAACACCCTCAAGTCCTTCTCCACAGGGCTGCTCTGAATCTCTTCTCTGCCCAGCCTGTAGCTGTGCCTGGGATTGCTCTGACCCAGGTGTAGGACCTTTCACTTGTCATGGTTAAACTTCATGAGGTTGGCATCAGCCCACCTCACAAGCGTGTCAAGGTCCCTCTGGATGTCATTCCTGCCCTCCAGCGTATCAACCGAACCACACAGCTTGGTGTCATCGGCAAACTTGCTGAGGGCGCACTCAATCCCATTGCCCATGCCACTGACAAAGGTGTTGAACAAGACCAGTCCCAACACCTATCCCTGAGGGACACCACTTGTTACTGGTCTCCAGCTGGACACTGAGCTAAGTCAAAGAATAAAAATTTATTAGAAAATTATTTTTTAAAAATTGTTAAATCTAGATTAGAAAACAGTTTCTGGTCATTCTTCTTTGCATAAAATATAATTTTATCCATCTTTATGCTTTTTTAAGGCAGACAAGATTGTCAGAAAAGAATGATGACAACAGAAAGAATTAACTGGATTTATCTGACACTCACTCTGATAACATGCATAGCATGTCTTCCCTGTATCTGGTAACAAATCAATTGCTAGATATGAGTAAGAAGTTTCACATAACTCTGTGATTACAATTAAATTATCTTTACAGGTGAAATTAAACATTAAAAACAAAATTTACAGACAAGTTGCAATCACTGTACTCCAGATCTTCTGAATGCTGTACAAGCCTGAATGCAAAGCAGGTTATTTAATTTCTAACTTGGAGACAGATGTAACTTGGAGACAGATCTTTCCTTTCTGTATGTAGTGGTATATTCTAGCTGCTTTACCGATTATTGAGGATTTGCAGATCCCATTATGGGATCTAGGAACAAATACAGACAACATGCAGACAGGCAGGAGCACAAAGAGAACACTAGGCTTGGCTCCTCAATGAAGCTTGAATTGCCAAGTACCAGAGTGGTAGAAGCTGTACATTTTCTAGCAGACATTTTACACCATCTCACAAGAACCAACTATCACTTTATTCTAGGTCACATGTATACAAATCATAAGTCTCTCCAACTTCTGAAGTTGTAAAAGTTTATTGAAATAAATTAGTGACAACTTCAAGAGCATTTTTCTGAATGCACACAAAGACCTAGCACTAGCTAAAGAAATTGTGCACCCTGTTTCACAAGTGCTTTGACCATAAGTACAGACAAACTCTCTTGCTTATTAACACTACACTTAATTATTAACTGGCAGTGAAGAGCTAAGTTACACTATGTTTGATTTCTAGAAGAAAAGCTTAATAATAATTATAGGAAATCCCATCCCTTTTTCTTCCTCCTATCTCATGATCCTGGTACAGCAGCCATCAAGTTCTGTAAAAACTGCAACTGATAACTAAGGCAACTCCTTGCAAAGATGCATTGTCAAATTATAAACCCAAAGATTTCAACAACTAAGCTATGTTTTAAAAAGCCAATGAGCAATGTAACTCTAAGGTATATACAGATATCTAAGTACAGAGCTACATGTATCGCTTTATGGCACAATAGCATAGCAAAAGTTCACAGAATCACAGAACGGTCTGGGTTGAAAGGGACCTGAAAGCTCATCTAATTCCAACCGCCCTGCCATGAGCAGGGACATACTCCACAAGACCAGACTGCTCAAAGCCCCCTCCAGCCTGGTCTTGAACACTGCCAGAGATGGAGCACCCACAGTATCTCAGGGTAACCTTTTCCTCTCAAAAATATGTAATACCACGGAGTTTCAGAAGAATCTGTATTTTTGTTGTGAGGATATGTGCTTGTGTACATATAGGTATGTATATATGTATATGCATTAATTTTGAAGAAAAAACAAAGGGGAAGGAGATGCCCTTACTGGCAATGCAAATTCTTTGAATACATTCCTCTGTACAGGTATTTTAACCCAAAAGCATCAAAACAGCTTTGTGAATGCTGAAAAGGGAGAAGAGAGATTCATTTAACTCTTCTGTTCTGAATAATGACTTGCACGCAATTTTCTTAATGGAGTATGGCATGACATTTTATGGTATGGAGTATTCCTTTGGTTAGTTTGGGTCAGCTGTCCTGGCTGTGGCTCCCTCTTCCCTGACAGAGCATGCGAGACTAAAAAGTTCATCATAGGTGTTAGCAACATTATTCTTATACTAAATCTAAAACAAAGCACTATACCAGCTACTAGGAAAAAAATAAACTATATCTCAGCTGAAACCAGGATAAATAATAAAGTTCAATTTGGAGAGCTTAATCTTATTAATGATCCAAAGAAAAGCCACAGAGATACACAAGTGTTACTTCAATTTTTTGCTGTTTTGTACTTTCTTCCTCTTTATACCATTTCAATGTGCAAATGCCTCACTTGGACCATGCACTCCTCCACTGTAACAGGGCATCTAAAATATTAGGGAGGAATAACACTACTATTTTCTTCATTGTGGGGCTAGATTGGCAGGACTATTTATTTTCTCACGAGTTGTTTTAAGAAGCCATTCAGACCACAGGACTTCTGAATAGTTCTTCTAGTGAAATGAAACCATTCTCCCTTCAAAAGGTAGGTGTACAATAGGAGAAAACAGCCATGCAAGCAAACAGCTCTGATTAAGAAGGCAGGGATGGATGAGGGACTGCACCAACAACAAAATCAAATAAACAACCACCCCAGTTAAAAACACTAACTGAAATTAAGTACAGTCTCCAAAGGTCTCCACAGAGTATTTAAGGATTCTTTAACTGACTTTTAGAGACATTGTAGGAGGAAAGAAATATTCCCAAAAAGTACTTCCCTCCTAAAACTCTACTATACAGTATCTCAGGACAAACAGTACTTAATGATAAATATAATTTAGACCTTAGATCTACAGCTTCATAGTCCATACTAGTTCGGTATTTAACACAACCTTCTTCCACTCACACTCACTACAAATCAAGCCATCAAGCAGAACATACACTGCTTTCCTGACAAGTATCTCATCAAAAGCAATTCAGTGTGATCCAAGGGTAGCATCACATGAAATTTACATTTAAAGACAACCACAAGGATCAAAAAATAATTTAGGGACTAAAAAGATATACTTACATCTGGATATTCTTTTACAGGCACATATAGTTTCTCTTGCAACTGTACAATAGGTCCCACAGCATCTGGTAATTCTGCACTTCTCTTCTCCGTACTACCATTTAATGTGTCGTTATACATGTCTTTCCGTACTCTGCTAATTTCTGTGGGGGGAAAAACGTATATTAGGTATTAAATACAGTAACAGATTATAATCTAGCATGACAGTCTTCCTCTAATCTTTCCCCAATCTTAATGCCACTTTCTTCCTCTCTACATAAGCATCATGGTAGCTTAAAAGAAAAAAAAATCTACTCTGGTTTTGTTTAGGGTTTTTTTTCTGTGATTTCTGGGCTCTTTGTTTGTCTTGTTTTGGGGTTTGGAGGTTTTTTTGGGGAAAACGGGATGTGACGTTTTGGGGTTTTAACTGCACCACAAACACTTTATTTCTGTAAATCTGCTGCCTACTCATACTGTTTATGAAATTCAAGTGTTTGGATAAAAATTACATGCAGCTCCTTAGAAGTCATACAAGATTGTTCACATCATTTAAAAGGTGTATAAAAGCAGGTTTTATGCATTTTTTATGACAAAGCATCTAGAAAGCAAGAAAAAAAAAACCACCCCCGAAGTAGAAATCTGTGCCTAACAAAAAATACAAAAAGCATCTATACTATCTGCTAGTTATGAGATTAATGATAGCATTTGGAAATGAAATGGTGCATCACTTAGCAGTGAGAAATCTGCCAACTCAAGGGTGCAGTTACTGAGTACACACTGTGACCAAAAAAAAAGTAAATTTTGTTCTACTGACTACCTCCAAAGAGATAATGAAAAAATGAAGACAAGTATGGCACCAGAGACCTCGGCAACCTCCTTATACACCCAAAAGTCCTTCTACTTCATTGTAAAGTAATGGAAAACTCCTTGACAGCACCAAGGAATATCACAAATAGGCGCATACCTACTGTTTCCACCAATGACACCTGTACTACCCGCACCAATCTACTTGCAAGAGGTAGCTGAGTAGCTATAAACAAAGAAGTTCAAAATGGATAATTTGATTCAAATCCAGGTTTCTTTCACTAAACTACAACAAATCAAGAACTGACACAATGTTTTATTTTAGGCTATACTTCATTTCTAGAATTGTTAAACTGGTATTTGAATTGGTGCTCTAAGAATAAAAAAAAAAATCTTTGAAGTTTCGTAATTCATGGAATCCCTACTTGCATAAAATGCTATAAGAAGTTTATTCCAGTATCACTAGGAATTACTTCAAGTGTATTAACGAAGCTGCAAAGTGAAAAGTAACATTTAAACAGCACTGTTCTCAAAGCATTAATTCTTCCAATACTGAAGTGAAACTGAAACATAAATTTTATGTTTTCATCTGACCACAGGAAGCCACAGAGACAAGAAGTCACACAAAACTGTAGCAGCAAACAAGAGATTAAAATAACCTATGTTTCAAAACCGATTTATTTTCTGAAAAATCATTTTAGCTGAGATTTCACCACTTGAAAAGCTAGGGGAAGAGAGAAAGCATCAGAAATGACAAATGTCTGAAATGCAGCATACAATTTTCAACTGAGTTAGTCTGAATTAGTTCTTAACAAACTTACTCTGCATACTCAAGAACAAGTTGTTTCTCTACTGGCAACTGACATACTCTATCATGTACACTATATAATCATCTGGTGGTTAACGCCCATTTTGAATGGACAAAACAAATCTCATAATCACATAATCACAGCACAAGGAAAAAAAACCACAGCTGCTTCTACACTGACAATTTTGGCAACAGGCACAAAATCCTCAGAACTAGAAGCAGTATTTATACTGGCTTCAGTATATAAAGAATTTTTTTAGCACATCTCTTTGAACAAATATTATCTTTTGGCACACTTTGTTTCCTTTTCATTCTCTTCAGATTTTCTATTAACTTACACTATACTGAAACAAGCTAAGGCAGTCTGCCGAAGAACTGAAGCATAAGGAGCAACACGGTCATTTTTATTTATATTTGGGAGCTACAGAGTAGCTGCATCACAAATTTCATTTTAAATTGTATCTTTCATGTAGAATATAAAAACTAACATTAGATATCCTAGTTTTCACAGAAGAAAAAGAATACTCATTTTCATCTTTCCCTTCAAATACTCATACATCACAGTTATGACAGTGTAGAACCAAACATTCAGAACACATGTGGATGAGCATGATAAGCTGCCTTGAAGACTACCACTGAATTACAGCTTGTGTGAAACCTAAGCCACCTATCATGCCTTAAATGTTATGTACAATGAAGACACCTGCCAACTTAGGGTATTCTACTCCACTACAGGAGCAGACACATACAGTTTAGTTTTCACTGTATATGTAGGATTTTATCTTCTCTCCCTCCATTCAAGCCATTGGTAACACTGACAAACATCAGGACCGCATCAGCCAGCTACATCAACTCAGTGTTATCATCAGCTCCTCAAGTGCTACTGTTTCTTCTGATTCTTGGCAGTTTAACTTCTCTCTTAGGTATCTCACCCAAGAACTCAGGAGAAACACTCAGAAGCAACAGGTGATTAACAAGCATGTATTCACAGTTTAAGGTCTCCAAACTCCCCTACTATACTACAAGCCTCCCCTTTCACTCTATTTAGCAGTACTGAAGGACTACTGATCACATGTCCAGGTCACCCGTTCTCTCACTTCAAACTACAGACAGAACACAACCCATCTTTCTTTCCAATCTGTTAGCCCAGCCAGCCACAAGCACTCTTCAAAATACAAAACTTTTGAAGCTACTTAATATGCACCCTGGGTTTTTTCCAGATTCTGCTGAATCTTTTTACATATCTTCAAGATTACTCTTTTCTTCTATGACTAACAATAGTTTTCTTAGACACCTGCCTCTTGCTTTATCACACCTCTTGTATTCGCCACAAGACTGCATACAGAAGTACTGAATTTTGATCACACTTTTACCATCCCCATTATGCCAAATGCAAGCTTAGAGTCTCTTGAGTATCTTGCAACTCTGCCACTCACTTTTAAGCAATTACAGGTATCTACAGAACTACCTGCTACTGTATTTCCAGCACCTCCCTCAAGAGCTTATCAGAAGTGCAGGAAGACTCCAGAAAGCCTCACCAGCAGCATATTACAAAAACTAAAAACTCTAACCTCCTTTCACCTCTAGGAAGTATCCATTTTATTATGTTCTGAAATACTTAAAAATACTTTAAAATACTTAAAAATCTGAGGCCAGAATTAGTACTGATGTGGGAAGTTCACATCCAAAGAGTGCACCTTTTTATTTGTTTTACCATTAAATTCAAATATTAAAAATACAAGAACAAAAGTAAACCAGACTTTTATTTACATTTATTTCATATAATTTCTTACACATTACTTAACAGATTTCTCATCTTCCCTTCCCAAACGCTTCTTTGGCATGTCTTTCATGAAATCACACTTCCTGAGTTCATTTGCAAGACTCTAGATCCTCCACATTTACAATTCTTTACAAATTCTTCCACCATGGTATCTCACAGGAAGCCAACTGATTTAAAAATAAGGAAAGCTTTACTTTGAAAGTGAATACCTAAGTACAATTCTACTTTACTTCTATCTTAACATTGCAGTGGTTATTATTATGTAGAACACATGGGGATTTAAAAGAGAGTAAGGAGAAATAATTATCATAGCAGATATAACGAAAAAGCATACAGCAGCTTCACCATACCTCTGAAACCTGTGAGCTCTGCAAAAGCAGTAATAGGTTCCCTTTGAAAAGATCCAAGTACCCATCTTTACTATAGGCAGAAGCAGCAACTCATACGAAGAATTTCAAAATCCACATTATTCACTTTTAACAATACTCTGGTCTATATGTTATAAGTAATAACTTTATCAGTAAATGACAAATTTGTCTTGCTCACAGCAGTGCTGTGAGAAATAGACTCAAAAAAAAAAAAAAGGACAAACTGATTTCAATAGAGTTATCTTGTTCCAAGTTAATACAGCATGACACTGTCACCTATGGTGGCAATGAAATGCATTCTGGTCCAGGAGAGCATTTTTCTTCCTCTGTCCCTGGAAACTATGCAAGTAATGTGATCTTCTGTTTCCTTCATCTAGAGATAGTATTTTTCAATCTCCCCAACACTCAAGACATGATCAGAAGCAGGACACACTGTTTATACTATGTTTGCCTACAGGGATGCACTTTTTCGATCTTTTTCATGATACTTAATGATATTCTTCCCTCTTGAGCACATGAAGGACTACGTTCAGATGAATGTTTGTCATCACATTAAAATACACTAAAAAGTTACTTCTTTTACACTGCCAATTATCATTCCCTTAGAGAAAGTAAGGCTGCATGTATGTTGAACGACTGTTGGACTGCAACATAAAATGGGTTTACATAATCACTCAGCATGCATATTTCCAAGTAGGAAATCACTGAAAAGGTCCAAATTCTTCCATCATTCTCAGAGCTGCAAACCACTCCAGTGCCCACAGCTCTAGAATTCCTCAGCATGAAGGCTTCTTCTAAATTATGAATCTTTTAACTTCTGAAAGAAGCTGACTTAACACTGACTTTAAACCAATGGATTCCCCGCTAGAACTAAGAATTTGAAGAACTGAAAGAAATTTTCTGATGCTATTTGCTCCAGTTTAGCTACAGCAGTTTAAACAGAGATCAACTGATGCCACTCTCAGCCCATGTTCCTTTCCCAAGTCTAACACAACATTAAGCCATCAGTGCAGAGAATTCTTTAAAGATACTAAAAAAGCATTTACCTATCACAGAAGAACCTCTTACCAATTATTCCTGTTTTTTACAATACACAGCAAATGGGGGTGGAGCAAACCAAAACCAGTTGCTACAACTGGCAAAGAGATTCAAAATGAATCCGGACACTAAGCATCTTGAAACACCAGCCCGCATACTTAAGGAAGCGGAGCACCCGCACTTTTAGTTCCACTGTTAGCGGAAACAAGGCAGTTTCCGTATGAAAATCAGTTTTGAGCAATTTATGTTGGGTTTTTTTTTTATTAAAAAGTTGAGGAGTATGGCAAGAAAAACAGTTATGCTCATACAGCTAAAATCTACACAGTATTTGCATCTCAGTGATGCATAGAACATTCAGTTTCA